ACCTTGGTTGCGGGCACATCCCCAGTAGGAGGTGTGCAGGAGGCAGCTGATCGATGTTTCTCTCTCATCGATGTTTCTGGCTCTCTATCTCTCTCCCTTCCTCTCTGTAAAAAGTCAATAAAATATATTAAAAAAATAAAAAAAATAAAAGGATCACTTAGGCTGCGGTGCTAATAGAGGGTTAGGTTTATAGACTTGGGTAGAAGCAGGGAGGTTAGTTATGAGGTTACTCCAGTAATGGTAGTAGCAGAGGAGATTGGAAGTGTTTAGATGCTGGATTCTTTTTGAAGGTAAAGACAACAAGATATATAGATTCGATGTAGGCAATTAGAGAAGAAAAAGTCAAGGATGACACCAATGTTTTTGGCCTAAATAAATGGCAAGATGGAGTTGCCATTAACTGATGTGAGAAATACCAGGATTGGAGCAGGGCAGCGATTTTCAATCGATATGTCAAAATAATTTTTAAAACATGCAATACCTGACTATTTAGTCAGGGACACTGACCTCTTTTCCTTTAGATGGTCAAATAAAAAAAATGACAACTAACACGATAGCTGTCCAATTTGAATGAATCAAAATAATACCAATTTTTAAAATCAGATCAGCAAAAAATATATTTTTAGTGTGCTGTAGAATTTTAGTAATTAGATTATGTGTGCTATGAGATAAAAAGGTTGAAAATCACTGGAGTAGGGCAATATGTGTGATTGGTTGTGTGTGTGGTTGGGTAATTAGGAGTTCAGTTTTGTACAGTTAGAGATGGATATTGGACATATTTGTTGAGTAGATGATTTGGACATATGAATCTAGAGTTCAGGGAAGAGCCCAGTCTTCAGGCAGGGCTCTGAAGACAGCTAGATAAATAGATATACATAGATGATGATGATAGATAGATAACAGATAGATACATAGTTAGATAGATGAATTTAAAAACATGAACCATGAGCCTGGGCTGGGAAAAGTAGACCAATGACTACATTAATGTGATGAGTATTATGGTGTGTGGGGTCCTACCACAGGAAGAAGTACTCAGCTGATGAGAAGAACCCTAGGGTCGCCCTAACCGGTTTGGCTCAGTGGATAGAGCGTCGGCCTGCGGAATGAAAGGTCCCAGGTTCGATTCCGGTCAAGGGCATGTGCCTTGGTTGCGGGCACATCCCCAGTAGGAGTGTGCAGGAGGCAGCTGATTGATGTTTCTCTCTCATCAATGTTTCTAACTCTCCATCCCTCTCCCTTCCTCTCTGTAAAAAATCAATAAAATATATTTTGGGGAAAAAAAAAAAAAGAACCCTAGGGTCACATAAAGGGGTCACAATAAAAATGACCTTAAAAGGCACAATTCCTAAGTTGCAGGTTCAATCCCTAGTGTGGGGCATGCGGAAGGCAGTCAAATGATGAACCTCTCTCATCATTGGTGTTTCTCTCTCTCTCTCTCTCTCTCTCTCTCTCTTCCTTC